CACAGGGAAACTGGTCTTTCTATTCCTAATTAATTCAAGCAATCTACATTATAAAGTAACCAATATATAAATTTGGATATAAAACTAAACTACGGAGATTAAGAGTAAAGAGAAAACAATGAATAAAAGATCTAGGGCATAGGTTCACCAATAAATAATATTCGGGGGTAAAGCATAATAATCAATCAGCAATGCATAAATTAATCAGATCATAAAGGGCTTTCGCTACGTATTACAATCACACAATTAATTTAACGGCATTAAATCTCATCTCTCGAATCTCGACTAAACCATTTATAAATTAACCTGCGTATTGAAACTAGACCTAAACATCAATTCTCATCTCTCGAATCTCGAATCAGTATTGTCAAACTCATGCATAAAATATCTGCGCAAATCTAGTCACAGAGCATTAAATTAATCAATAGGAAATTAATCTAGAATTGACAATTAACAACAATAAATTACCCCTTCATATTATTTATGGATCCCCATAAACCCTAGAAATAGAACTACTCCCGCATAATTAAATCTAAACTAGTCAAAGTAATAAAGCAAGACATGATCAAAGGAATAAAATAAATAACTAAGATTAACATAATAGAAATCGTTACCAAAGAAATATGGAATTAAGAATAGAGTTAAGAACAAAGTATATGAGAAAGAAACTAATCTAAAAGCTAAGTAGAGAGAGAAAATCTAAGAAAGGATTTAGAAAGAGTGAAAAAGATACTAAACTCGCTTAATGGAAAAGTATTTATATTAAGCAAGAATCCTAAACTAAAACAAACTTAAACAACGCTAATCGTCTCCTAATAATAACACGCGCCCGATCGGGAGAGGCACCGCCCGATCGGGCGCGTCTTTTTCCCCCATGTACAAATCTCGGCCCGGCCGGGCGCGAGTTTGGGCGCCAGCCTTGCTTCCCCCGCCCGGCCAGGCGCTTTTTCGGGCGCCAGCTTCTTTGGCTGGGCGGCACTCTTGGGCCACTATTTGAACTTCGATTGGGCTCCAATTTTCGGGCGAATCTGGATTTCCTCTTCGGGTCTTGAATACTCGGTCCAAACGCCTCGGTATCACATATACCGAGCCCTTAATCACCGGTTCGATGGCTCTAACCGGCCCTGGGCTATAAAAACTGGTCGTGCTTCTCCAGTGCTTGTAGTTGCTCCATAATATCTCTGGAAAATGCTCCAAAAGTGCAAATCCCTACAAAAGTCAACCAAATCTACGAAAACACTAGAAAACACCAATTAGTAATAAAGGTGGCTCTAAAGATCCAAAAAAACTACTAATTATGACTAAGGGACGGGGGTAAAATACTATATAAAATAGACATATCAGAGTGCTACGTGGTTCTATATGTATCCGAGCTAGATTTCAGTTTTGCTAACTTTGGTTTGATAGTTTGCTCGAGAGTCGATTCGATCTTATTCTGGTTCCCTGGAAGTCCTGTTTGTCTTATTTCTCCGTCTTGAGTCTAGTGTTGCTTAGGGACAAGCAACGGTTTAGCTTGGGGAAATTTGATAAATCATATTTATATAGTTTTATCTAGTAACATTTTTGCTAGTTTTAGAGCTTTTTCACAGTCTTCTTAGTCATTTTTAGAGTCATGTCTGCATAAGTTATTATATGTCACTCTATTACGCTCCGTTTGTGTTTTCTTAATGTTTCAAGTGATTTCATAGTCATTTGGAAGCTTTCGAAGTGTTTAGAGATGATTCGGATGATATTTGAATGGAAATCGATGGATCGAGTTCATTGATCGAGGGATTTATGCTCGTGGATGTTGGTTCTAAGGATTCTATGCATGGAAAATGAAAATAGCATCCACGAGATTCGCTATAGACCTTATGGAAGTGAATTTGAGTTAGAAACGGAGAAAAACGAAGGCTTGCAAGGTATCAAAAATGACCTTTGCTCACTCTTTTGATCATAACTCGAGTTCTACAGATCGCATTGAAGTGATTTTTAGTTGCATTAGAAACTAAACTTGAAGAGGTTTCCAATGATAGGTCACACTCCCCAAGAAGCTTCCTAGAACAAAAGTTATGAGCATTTGAATCCAGGAACTGCAGTCAGCCAACCGCAGGGCTGGCTGAACCTCTGTCCCGCGCCCCCTCGAAGGTTGCTGCCGCCACTGCCGGGGTGCGGGAACCATCCTGCGGCCGCGGGTCTGGTAAAGTGTTGATGAGCCACGCAGCCTTGCTTCTCTCGTGCCACGTTATCAATTGTCATCCAATAGCATTATAACTTATGTATTTATTTAGGAAAATTTGTTAAAAAAAACCTTTTCAAAGGGACCTTTTTGTCCAAAAAAACCTTTTAAAATTTTTTTGGCCAAAGAAAACCTTTTAAATTTGTTTTTTTGTTCAAGACAGCCAAAACCACTTTCCGACGTTGACTCGCCATTCTCCGGAGTTGACCACGTGTTTTACAACATGTGCGACGCACATGACCCCTATTTTCCTAATTACACCCCTCTTTGCCTAATTTCACACCATTTTCCCTCCAATTAAACACTCTCTCTCCTACTCTCTTTCTCTATCTCCTACTCTCTTGTCCCAACTCCAAATTTGCATGCAATGAATTTTCTCCCAGGATTATCATGGGTCCATGAAGTCCTATTTGCAACAGGAAAACCACATCCACACCTCGTAACACCTCATCGACCCATAGTCGCTGCATAATTGAGAAGAATTAAAAAGGGGAAAAAAACCCTAATTCTCAATCAAGAATCGAAAAAGTCAGAGTCACACAAATTAATCACTTACCTGTTGTCGAAAATTGGTGATAAAACCTTCTACTACTTCTTCCAACAATGGCGTGAGAATTTGAGAACACAGAAGAAAGAAGGAGATGAAATAGAATACAGAGAGTAGGAGTGAGAGAGAGAGTAGGAGAGAGAGTGTTTAATTGGAGGGAAAAGGGTGTGAAATTAGGCAAAGTGAGGTGTAATTAAGAAAATAGGGGTCATGTGCATCGAACATGTTGTAAAACACGTGGTCAACGTCGGAAAGAGGGTTTTGGATGTCTTGAACAAAAAAAATTTTTAAAAGGTTTTCTTTGGCCAAAAAAATTTTAAAAGGTTTTTTTGGACAAAAAGGTCCCTTTAAAAGTTTTTTCCTGACAAATTTTCCATTTATTTATTTATTTTATTTAGGATGAGGCAAAAATATTAATACTGGAGAAGATTTTATTTTGCCTCTTCATGCTTTATTTTTCTAGATTAAACGCTTCTTAGTTTTTTCTCTCCATTGTTGAACCCTAGCTTTTCATTCTTCATTAATTCAATCATCGAGGTATTTCAAATATTCTTTTCGTTCTTTATTTATTTTATTAATTATGAATTCAAGTTTATTTATCTCTTTTGTTTTGTTTATTTCAATTATGAGTGAGTAGTCGTTTTCTAGGATTAAGTGAGGGAAGCCATGTTTATACCATGATTATTTGTGCTTAATTATTTATAAATTTATGAATTAGGGTTTGAATAATTCCAATTGATTTGTGCTTTATTGTTTGATTCATGTAATTGGCCAATATCATGAGTTTATTATTTAGCTAATAAAAATTATAATTGAAAGATCATATTTTTAGGCTTAATTACATTGGCGAATTTGATTATTTTAGCGACCGAACTACATATGTTAATTCGTAAGTGTTAATTCCCGATCCTAGGATTAACAAGTGCTTTAATTATTCGACCTAGGTTTATTTATTAATGGATTGTTTGCATTTCTTGGTTTAGTATAAGCATGGTGGACCGAACGTATGCCATAGACTTTGGATTATCTGTGAACAACCTTATTTTCATCATTTTCATCTCTAGTTAATTAATCATCAAATTCACTCTCCGTTTATTGAAATAGTTTGTAATAATTGGGCAAAAACTAATAGAACATGTCTCCCTGTGAAATTCGACCCGTATTTCCTAAGTCTCTGCTGACAACAAACACCGTGCACTTACGGTATAACTGTTTATTCATCAGCGATAACCAAAGCCCAAAACCAGTTACCATGCGCGGTAACTGAATCCCAAAACCGGTTTTCGTGCATGGTAATTGGTTTTTAGCTCCGATTATCGCGCACAATAATCGGTTTTTGGCTCTAGTTGTCGGAAATAAAAAAATTTGCCACCTTTTTGTCGGCGAGGGAAAGTGGTGGGTCGTCATAGAGGGGGTGTAGTGGGTCGTTATAGAGGGTGATGTGGTGGATTGCCGGTGAGGGTGGTGGTGGATTGCCGGTGAGGGTGGTGGTGGTCGTCGCCGGTTGGAAGGGATGGTGGGTTGCCGGGGAGGATAAGGGGTGGTGTAGTAGTAAGGGTATGTGGTTGTCCATTTACACTAAATGATGGCAGTGGTGATCATTTTGGATGGCGGTGTTTAGCAATTCACAATTACTCCCTCCGTCCCAAATTACTCGCAACGTTTTTACTTTTTGCACTATTCACATCTCACTTTGAACATCTTTTTTAGCTATTATATAAATTAATATAATCATGTAAGATATTATTGGGTCTATTTTAATGTATAGTTTCTTAATACTACCTTCGTTACATATTATGTGCAACGATTAGACATTTTTCATCTCTATTTTATGTCAAATCGTTGCAAATAATATGTAACGGAGGTAGTATAAATTTTTTTTAACTTTTGTAGATACTCCCTCCGTTTTTAAATACTTGCTCCATTTCTAAATTTTGCACTATTCATTTGTCCTACTTTTACTAATGTTTGTTATTTATACATAAGTTTAAATATAGTCTTGTGGGTACTTGTTGGAATCATCTCAATGAATAGATTATTAATTTTCAATTGTTAGAATTTATACTTATTGATAACTAAAGATATTAGTGATCAAAGATTAGCATTGACATGCGTGTCTAAGAGAAATGGAGCAAGTTTTTAAAATGGAGGGAATATATAATAAAATATATCGACTGTTAAACATGTGCATTGTCAAATGTGTCCACTCAAAATGTTGCAAGTAAAATGGGATAGAATAACTAATAGGTTATGTCACAGCCTCACAGGACCCAAGACCTCTCTAGTCAAACTACGAGTATAATACAGTAGAATACGGAGTAATTAATTTATACAAAAACAAATGAATTAAAGTTGGTAGTTGGTACGATATAAACCAACCTCAGCATTCACAGTAAGACAGAGAAAACCATAAAATGGAAGAGGAGTTGTTATTGAAGCAGGAAGAAGAAAAAGGAAAAGAAGAGATAATAATAAAAATAAAAGTAGGATGGAAAGAAATATTACAAGAAATAAAAAGAGTGAGTAAAGTAGCAGGTCCAATGGTGGTTGTGATGATGTCACAGTACATGATTCAAGTCATAACGTTGATGATGGTCGGTCATCTCAGCCCGCTCTACCTCTCTAGCACTGCCCTTGCTGTTTCTCTTGCTGCTGTCACTGGCTTTAGCCTCTTGGTATGTCTCTTTGTCATTGCTTTTTCTTTAGCGGTTTTTAAATATTTTTTAAAAGTTAAATTAATTCATTGTATGTCATTTTCATAGGATCAAAATTAGAAATATGTAGTACGGAGTAGTACACTCCGGAGTATTAGAATCTATGAGATTATTGCAGATTTATATTGGTATAGCTAGTTAATTAGTGATGGTAAATGGGTGGTGCAAGTGCAGATATATCTTTCCTTTTCCCATACTCATAAAGTCACCTTAATCTTAATAATGCAATACCTGTTCTCATGGCATGTATGTATCCTACATTCACATCTGCCCGAGAGCCTATTATGTATACCCGGGTAATCCGGGTGTACCGTACACCCGGATCATTTGCTCATTCAACCAAAAAATGAGTAAAATTATTATTTGCTCATTTGTGAATTAAATGAATGAATAATCCGGGTATACGGTACACTCTGTGTATATAACGAATTCTACCTTCGTCCAAGTGTACTGCGTACAAATCTAAATCCACACCCGTTTCACCACCTAAATGGATCTACTTTGTTTTTTCACCCACGTGTCCCTTTCTATCATCCGTTTACTACTCACTTGCACCCACTTAAAACTAATTAACACAAGTTTAGATACCTATATTCATGCATCGGTGCATCCACTAGCCACTACCTATCAAATACTACCTCTTCCAGTTGGGGGTGGATCCGTGGGTATTTACGAAGAGGTATTCGTAAAATAATATCCACCTATCATCCCTTGTTATTTGCTAATATTAGTCATAATTTTTATTAGGAAATAGACAAAGAGGTATTTATTTAATAAATTAAGAGAAATTTGTGAAAAATGACCTTTTAAGAGAGCAAATTTGTGAATGTAGTACTTTATAAGTTGTGTGAGGTTGTGAAGAGTGACATTAGTTGGTTTTCCGGCTAGTCAACGCCTCATTCTAGCGTTGACTTTCAGGTACCTAGCGTATGACACTAAAAAAGACCTCCAATTACTATTTTCCCACATTTCCACTCATGTGCCTAGTATGGGATTGTTTGAAATGGAGGAAAATATGAGGAAAGAGTACAAAAGGGTCCCTTTTTAAGTGTCATGTTCTAGGAACATGATAGTGAATGCCAGAATCACGCGTTAACTAGCCGAAAACCAACCAAAATTCTTCTTCATAACCTCACACAACTTATAAGATCCTTTCTCACAACTTTTGTCTTAAAAGGTCCTTATTTACAAACTCGTCCTCTTAAAAGTTCCTTCCTCACAAATTTTCCATAAATTAATATAACACACATTTGAGTGCCTCTGGTGTACAATAGTTTCAAGTTTCATTTTGGGATGCCAATTCGCCCAATTAGTTAAGTTAAGACTTGGCAGATGAGTCGTACGGGTTGGGTCAAATTCTAGTTAATAGATATTCGGATTAGGGTTGGGTTGGGTCATTTTGGGTTTCAGGTCAAGTCGGTGCAACATTTGGGCTGGCTTTGGGTCAGGTCAAGTTCTGGTCGGGTCGTTTTGGGTCGAGTCAATTCGTGCCGGGTCAATTTTTGGGTCCGTATATTGGGTCAAGATCGAGTTAGGTCATTTTGGGTCGATACTTTGAGTCAAGATTTATTAGTATAATTATTTTTTTATACAAAATAATAATCGAGTCGGTCTTCTTTGGATCTAGATTCAGACTTGAGTCCACGATTCAAGTACTAAACCCGAAGATTTACCCATATCCGACCCGAATTCGATACGTTGTCATTCCTAATTGCGGTTATTTTCTATTTGGGTCAGCTCGAGTCAAGTATTTTACTTGAAATGTTTCAGGTCATTTTAGGTTTAAGATAATTTTAGTCCGAGTCATTTCGGATTTCAGGTCTATTTGGGTCAATTAAATCAAGTTAAATTCATATTGGGTCACTTCAAGTTTCGAGTCAATTTCGGGTCGGGTCACTTCGAGTCAGGTTACTTCGGGTCGGGTCAACTTCGGGTTTTGGGTCAAAGTCGGGTCAATTTCACTCCGGGTCCGTCGGGTTGATTTCGGGTCACTGTTTTCCGGTCGATTTCGGGTCATAGGTCCGGTGATCAGGGCAGGTCAGTAGCTAGGATTGTCAGGTCTATTTATGTTACACACTAAGGTAGTGTTTGGTACGACTAATGGAAATGGAGTGGAAAGGAAACAAATAAGTGGGAGGATATGAATCATTTAACTCATCTTTTTATTTGTTTGGTTTAATCATAGAAATGAATAATTTAAACCTATGTTCCTTTATTTTTGTTTGAGGAGAGTTAGGGTAATGCTACCTTAGGTTTTAGAAAGGTAACAAATGGGTGGAAATTAAAACATTACATACCCTTGAGTAATAGAAATTATTATCCAAATTAACCTTCCACGCATCCAAATACTTAGTAACGATAATGGTTTATTTGAATCTGTTTCCAATAATAAAACACTCTAACTAAACATGCTCGAAAGTAGATATCAACTACGGTAATAGTCAATTACTTCGTAAGTATATATATGTATGAAGTAAAAATTAACTTTTTTCAAAAAAAAAAAAAAAAAGTTAAAATTTAACTTATATTGAATTGGTCAATTATGTAAACAACAATAACATATAAAGTCTTAGTCCTAAACTAATTCGGGGTTGGCTAACATGAATCGTCATAAGGAACGTCTGAGAAAGATAATACAAAAAAAATTTTAAAATATAAATAAACGTTTGTAAAAAATTGATAAAAAAAAAGTAAAATTAGAAAAAAAAAATTAAATTTATATTGAGAAAAATATTAGATTTCTTTTATAAACAGTAATAATTTCAACCATAAAATACGATGAAGAATAATTTTATTTTGTTATTATTGTTGCTCTTTGTATTGGATGGAAGAAGATGTCGAATATCCAAAAGGGATTGGCTAAGAGCATCAACACTCGTGGTATAATTTTATACCACGATGTAAAAACTCATCAAAAACATGCAATTTTTTTACTACATTAGTGGTATAAAATTATACCATTTGATGGTATATACCATCCCATGATAAACAATTACTTTGATCCCCATGAAACATGAACCAACCAGGTCACGCCATGTGGCCTGGTTATCATGTATCTTTTTTTTTCAATTGCATTTTAAGAAGAAAAAAAATTATAAATTAAAAAATTATGAAAAAATTACCATTGTTTATAATTTTTCAAGACCTACACATAGACACCCATATTGATATAGTTTTATATATTTTTTCGAATTCACTTTTTACTACATAAATTGCTTATTTTATTTAATTAACTTTACAATATTTCTAAAGAAAATGAAATATAATTATAATTAAATTAAGTGTATTATTAATACAAATAAGAGAGAGAAAGTGTGGTGGTAAACTTTTTTTATACCATGGGTGGGATGATTTTTGGAAAAAAGTATATTGTATTGTGGTATCGATTATGTGGAGGAGTGAGAAAGTGGTAGAGAGAGAGGGATGGTATAAATTTCTTTACCATGAGTGATGATGGTCTAACGTAAGTCTAAACATATAGTCATATAGATTACATATTAACATATGAACATGCTCATATTTATGCATCCTTTATTATTACTACGTACTAATCGTCTAATCATACTAAATAATTGAATTATTTGAGTTAATTATATTTGTCAATGGACAACTTCAACCATAAAATTTGTAGTTAACTATCAGCATAGTTATTAAAAGTTGAAATTATTATTTTGAACGGAAAGAATAATATCATTAAATAAAAGCCATACGGCATCTAAAATAATAAGGATCTGAAACCACAGATTTAGAGAAAATATCATAACTTTTACAAAATCATAACTAATTTGCATATTTGGCAGAGCTCATATTCCATCGCTTCAAGCTTGACGTGAGCAGTGATTTTCGATGTCTTTGCATCTTTCCAAGTTGAGACCTCTGTAATTGCGTTGATGTTTTGATCGACCGGTTGATGACAAATCCAGACCCATAGGAATTCAAATCACCTTCTCAATTATTATAAGAACCCTAAAAATAAAATTCTCATCCATAGATGAGAATCAAAATACCAGAAAATTGGGAAAAAACTTAGAAAATTAGGACAGACTCTCACAGATGGAGAGAACAAAACAAAACAAATAAACCAAAACGTAAAACAAAACAAAAAAACTAAATTGAATTAAAGAAAAAGGGTCGGAAATAGTCTAATTTCTTACCTAAACGGCCAAGAAAATTAAAACCCTAGAAGAGTGAGGAAAGAGAAGAGAGAAGAGAGAAAAAGGGTATGATATAGAAAGTTGAAATTATGAAAGAACATAGATTATACAAAATCCACAAATGTAACATATGATTGTACTACGTATATTTTTCTAATTTTTTTTACATAAAAATTGTGAATAGTAAGTAATGTAAAAGTCCACTTGGTGTAATTATTTTAAAATGAAGTATTTGTGATTGTTATCGTTTAAGAACAGAGTACTCGGGATGTAAAATTCTAAATAACTACATATGTGATTGCATTAACATGTTAATGGATGACAATGCATTGCTTAATCAATTATTTGATGTCTTTGTAATCGATTTTTTAATGCAATTTCAACCAATATATGTACCAATGACACATCTTAAAATGTATTGCTTATTCGATCATATATAGTTAGGAATGGCGGGTGCATTGGAGACAATAAGTGGGCAATCGTATGGAGCGCAACAGTACAAGAAACTAGGAACTCAAACATACACTGCCATATTCTCTCTCACTTTATTCAGCATCCCACTTTGTGTGCTATGGATCTATATGGGGGATATTCTCGTTTTCATAGGCCAGGATCCTGCAATTTCGCGCGAAGCAGGCAAATTTATGACATATCTTGTGCCTACTCTTGTTTGTTATGCTGTTTATGAGCCCTTGGTTCGATACTTCCAATCCCAAAGTTTGGTCATGCCTATGTTTGTAAGTTCCTGTTGTACAGTATTCCTGCATATACCCCTTTGTTGGGCTTTGGTGTACAAGTCCGGGCTAAATAATCTAGGAGGCGCTATTGCAATGGGTATCTCAAATTGGTTAAATGCAACTTTGCTGGCATTGTACATGATGTTCTCTCCCTCGTGTGCAGCTACTCGTTCTCCAATCTCCGTGGAAATGTTCCATGGAATTGGTGAGTTTTTCCGATTTGCTATTCCTTCTGCTGCAATGGTTTGGTAACCTCCCTTTTATCTCTTACAATCTAGTGTACTTGAATGTAATTATTAATATTTTTTTTTATTTTATTTACTGACCTTTTGATGATGGTCTGATTGTTATGCTTATAGCTTAGAGTGGTGGTCATTTGAGCTACTGATCTTATTGTCAGGATTGCTTCCAAATCCAGAACTTGAGACTTCTGTTCTCTCTGTGTGGTATTTTTTTGTGTTCCCTAAATATCAATTTGGTACACTACTAATTTTTGTTTTGTGAAAGTAACACTTCTGTTGTTTTTTCTGTTATTAGTGTGACAACAGTTTCAGCATTGTTTGCCATACCTTATAGAATCGCAGCAGCAGCAAGGTTTGTTTAAACCAAAAAATTCTTGTTCATATACTATAGTATATAATTTATACAATATATAGAATGAGAGTTTTCAATGCATTTTTTGTAATAAGTTTTCTTTTTATTACAGCACGCGAATTGCTAATGAACTTGGAGCAGGAAACCCACAGACAGCTCGTATAGCAGCATGTGGAGTTGTTGCAATGGGGGTTGCAAATGGTTTGATTGTTAGCTCTGTCCTTTTTACTACTCGAAGATTTTTCGGATATTGTTTCAGCAATGAGAAGCAAGTTGTAGATTATGTCACCAATATTGCACCTTTAGTTTGTGTTAACATTATATCTGACAGTATGCAAGCAGTTCTTTCAGGTATCTATTTTCAGATTTCTTTGAAATACAACAATAAGATTGGCATAAGAATCAAGAATGTATTTCATTGCATTACTGATGTTATTTTCAAGAGTGCAATACTTGACTAATTGTTGCTATTTCAAAAATTCAGGTGTAGTAGAGGGTGTGGCTGGCAACATTTAGGGACGTACACAAATCTTGCAGCATACTACCTTGTTGGAATTCCGATTTCTGTAACATTAGGCTTCTGGATGCAAATGAGAGGCAGGGGCCTTTGGATTGGAGTCATGGTTGGTGCTATGACGCAGGCAGTCCTTTTGTCTGTTATAACAAGTCGTACGAAATGGGAAGAAGAGGTTCGTCTTGCTTATCAGCTTATACATCTTCTGCCTATTGCATTCTTGTGCTTCAATTTTTTTGACAGTGAAAATCTTACAGAAATTAATTATAGACATTTCGTATTCACCTTTAAGGTTTGTTTAGAGTTTAGACAAAAGTTGTTGGTTTTTTACAGGCAAGGAAAGCAAGAAAGAGAGTAGTGGAAGAAACTTCAAGAGTTGGCAATGGAGTATATGTTGATGAGCAAAGGAGATTAATCAATTAATTTTGAGAAACCTTTGGTGAGACAGAGAGAGTGGTCTATAAGACATGATAATGGATGATATAATGGATTCCTAAAACCACACAAGATATCATGCAATCTATATTCACTGTAGCCATGTTTTATTAATTATGTTTCTTTTAAACTGTCTTTAGAAAAGCAAATCACTTGCTGAGTATTGTAAGCCATATAAAGTGTCAGTAATCTGTGTAAGTCTTCCCCTAGATAAAGGGTTATACAGAGAGTGAAGGCAGAGTTGGAAGAGTAAGGTAGAACATTAACTAACGTGAAACAAAATGTTGAAATAAGGATATAAATTTCTGAAATCAGAAAATAGGAAGGCGGTTAATTCAGTTAGGGTTATACAGAGAGTGAAGGCAGAGTTGGAAGAGTAACGTAGAACATTAACTAACGTGAAACAAAATGTTGAAATAAGGATATAAATTTCTGAAATCAGAAAATAGGAAGGCGGTTAATTCATTTAGGGTTATACAGAGAGTGAAGGCAGAGTTGGAAGAGTAACGTAGAACATTAACTAACGTGAAACAAAATGTTGAAATAAGGATATAAATTTCTGAAATCAGAAAATAGGAAGGCGGTTAATTCAGTTTTACATCAAATGAAGTTTTTTAACTAGCCCTCTTAACTGAAATTCTTATGATCAATCAACCAATTTTTTTGTACAACCACCACTACTAAGGTTAATTTTCTAATGGTACAGAAAAGCTACTATACTCCCATCATATTTTTATAAGAGGGTATTTTGATGTATTCCCTTCATTGCTTGCTACTTGTGAGTATATTTGCACTTCATACAATGCTCATAGTTTATAATTTGAAGTAATATTTTTATAACAGTTTATAAATTTGGGGTAAAACAAAGGGTTTGGACATTTTGGTGTTTACGCAAACAAGTTGAGGGACATATCTACAACTTTGGCCAAAGTTAAAGGACCTAAACAATGCTCTATTCGTTAACATTTAATCTATATTTCAATATTCATATATTGTTACTATACATTTTTTAAAAATATCATTTCCTAAACAAACTTACAGATCAGGTGATGCTTTCCTCATTTACTAGGAGGGAGCCCACATTACTCAAGTAACAAATATTGCTACTCAAATGGCAATCTTGTAAATATTAGTCTTGAACTTCGTGTATGGCATTCCATAGCTGGCAGTCCTTCCTTCTTCATCTCTCTCTTCTTCTTCCTTCTTTCCTTGTCTGCAAGAGTATAACAATGGTGAAATTCGAGCAACACCACAACACAAATCGTCATCAACACTACTAACACCGCAACAAACTCCGACCCCAACACACCACTTCGGTGGCAAATATTTGGAAGTGAGTGGTACAGTTTTTTTTTAAGAAAAAATAAATTAATTTATTAATAGAAACCAATATATGACATCTACAAATAAAATATAAATTAAACCAATACATAAACATTGAATCAATCAATCAATAAGGGGATCACTAGTGGGGAAGGAAATAGTAAAATATTGCTAAAAATTTCTACAAAATCAAAAGAACGGAATAGATAATAAAATACAGTTGTAAAAGAAAAGTGAAGCAAATAATAATTAAGTACGGAGGAAGTACTACTTATAAGAGTACTTTTATGCTTGAGTATACAATAATCACGAGTTTGACCTGTTAGCTCTCTATCCAAAATATAGTGCAGAGTATATTTAAAAAAATCAATAAGTCTTATATAAGGTAGACTTACGGTAATTTAATTGAAAGACGGTCAATCTGAGGACAACTTTAACAATTTTTATGATAACTTTAATCTTTGTAAGAATAATTTTTAATTTGTAAAGAGTTTAATTTATTTTAATGTATATTTTTTAAAGAATACATATATACATGTTATAAAAGCTAATATGATTAATTTAATACATTATACATATTTTTCTAAAAGTAAAATTTATGTTAAGAAAATAGTAAATTTAATATTACATAAACATAATTTTAACCCGTTTTACAACGCACGGTAAGTCTTGTTTTTTAAAAAAAAAACAAATAAATTCGATAAAACATACACATCAAATATATAATAAAAAAATAAAATTTATATTTAATTTGAATGTATATTTAATACTCCAATTAAATTGAAATAAAATACTACTAGAGGCATTTGAAAAAAATAATAAGTGATGTTTTAAAGTTATTTATTTAATATCAATTATATGAACAAATTTTATTACTACTTTTTTTTGGCAAAATCTTATAATACTTCATTTAAAAAGATAATTTAAAAATAATTGTAATAATATTTTATGTATGAAAAAATTAAAAACACCAAACAAAAAAGGAATTCATTTATTATAAAAATAATATGAAAATTTAGAATAATATTATTGTAGCTATATAATAAGAAGTATTATACAAATATTCAGGAAAAAAAATGACTAAGGGCGTGTTCGGCGCTAGCTTTTAAGTAACTTTTAGGTAGCTTTTAGTGGTTTGACCAAGTCAAATCATTACTTGACAAAAAATGTGAGTGTTTGGGAAATTAGTGGTTAGGGTAGCTTTTAGTGGTGGAGGTAGCTTTTATGAAAAGTTAGAAATATTAGCTTTTGAAATCAGAGGTAGCTTTTGAGGTACCTGTTGAAAATTTAATCTATAGTTTTTTAAAAAAATATTGATTTTTATATGTAACAGCTAGTCAACCGCTACTTTATCGAACCCTCATATCTAAATTATTTATCTTCATATCTAACAGTTTATTGACAGCAAACAACTATATACACAGCTCACAGCTATCTCCACTGCTACAGCTACCTTCACACCTATATTTTGTCGAACATACCCTAAAAAGGTAAGGGGATCGGAGTGTTGGTCGTTGGAGGGAAAAAACAGCATCATAATGTGACACGTATCTAGGGTTGTTCACATTAGGTTAACCGTACCGTTAAGCCTTAACGATACGGTTAACCATCAGAGTGGTTACAAAAAAAAAAACGAATCATAACCATACCATAAAAGAACGGTTAATAGCAACGATTAAACGTTTTTTAACGATATGGTTACCGGTTAACCGCTAACCTTTAATTAAATTTTAAATCAATACTTTTTTTCTCTTCCAATAGTTTTAAGCCTAATACATAATTAAACATAAACAATAATAAGGGAATGTTCACATTTACTGAACTAAGCTGAAGTGAACTTGTAGGGAATATTTCAAGCATTAATCCCCAAACTTGAACCCCACTATGATCATACACTAAAGTACGGTAGCGTCCAAATGGAAAGAAGATAGAGCAAAAGAGTCGCCAACAAGTTTTAGGAACTTATAAACCATTCACGAGGTGAAGGTTACACCCCTTAACGATCCAAGAGATCGTCAACTCCATAAGGTCTTGAACCAAATAGGGTTCGGGGATGAAGGTACAAATCCAACCTAAAAGATATTGAACCTGCCCTAATAATAGGCCTCTACTTTATTCTGATCGTATTCATGTGCGCTTTCTGACTAACATGCAATCAATAGGATTACCCTAAACCTGTTAAATCTATGTTGGTTGAACTTAATGCACAAATAAATCTATTATTGGCGATCACTTGAATTATAATGAAATTTACCCTAACAAGATTATTAATTATCTCATTAAGCGTGATTACAAGTACAAATTTCCTTTAAACATGCATAAAAGGTGTGATCAAGCAATAACAATAAATATCAAGCAACATAATAATAATCATCATAATAATAATTATAATAATAACAATCGTCATAACCATAATAATAATAATTAAAATAATCATCATAAATTATAACAATTATAACCATAATATTCATGTTAAAGCATAATATTAATAGCAAGATCCTAGGCATGATACTAACAAGATTAATAACAAACCCTAGCATGTCACTAAACAATAAAAATCAAAGCTTTAACCCTAACATGATACTAACATGAATAAATATTAGGAAGAACATAGAAGGCATCATAACAATCATACTTAATATTAAAGTTACCCTAGACATGATACTAGGAATATCATAATAACAACCTAAGCATGAACTCTATAACATAACATCAATGTAAACAATTAAAGTATTTACTTTGATACCTCGTACCTCTTTCTAATAACAAAATACACACGTTAGTAACTTCAAGGAAAGGAATAAACAAAACAATTAAATTAAATAATTGAAATAGAGATTTGGGACCAAACCCTCAGAAATTAAACCTTTCACGTCCAGAGCGAAGGCAACTTCGAATATTGCTAGTTTTATCTAAGTCTAATGAATGCGGAATTTTTATATTTGAGAGAAGGCTAGTTTAGAAAAGAGCGAGAGAGTAATCAAGAAGATCTTGATGAGAGTTGGTGCCTAAAAACGGAGTTTTTAGCACGTTATTTATAGAAAAAATCAGCCAAAAAGATAAAACATCAAAAACAGAGTTCTGACGCAAAAGGCCAAGTTAGCGCCAAACGCTAACCTTAGCGCCAGACGCTAACCTTAGCGCCAGACGCTAAGCTAGCGTCAGGCGCCAAGCGTAGCGTAAGGCGCTACAGCTGGCGTTTGGCGCTGACTATGAAATTCACGCGTTTTCTTAAAATCAGATAGAAATTGCCGTACAGGAGGATAAAATCGTATTTTCCTCAAAAAACGTTCTTTGATCTTAATTAAAACTCTGAAAAGTCAACAAAAAGTCAATTTATCAATGCTAATTGAATTAGGAATGAAAAGAACCTTCTAGAAGAATCTAGAAGACTAACACCATTCCTAATTGCATTAGGAATGATAAATCCATATTAGGCCCTCCTCTAGATCATTGGGCCGCATGTAAGGCTCAAACCGGGCCCAGTTCAGTAATTTGACCATAACTTCCTCAATATTCATCGGAATTGGGCTTATAATATATTGTTGGAAAGCTCTTTTCAAACCCTATCCAACTAAACTATTATTCGACCCATATAATGGACCAACCAAAGTGGATTGGCTATTTTCTTAAAATAGGTTTTCAAAAACAGAGTGAAGAGAAAAGAAATTAAAACTTTCCGCAACACTAAACTTTCCACACTTTCACTTCATTCGATTATGATTCGACGTGAAAGGCACTCATC